CCGGCACAGTGATATATGGGAATCTTTAGCAAAAGCTTGAGTAAGTTCTTCTGGACCAAACAGAGAGGGATAAGAAATTCAGGTAAGCAGAGGTCTTTCACAAAACATACTCGGAACTTTTAGCTATGTGCAAGTGCTAAATCAATCAAGACGAGAAGCACTTGCATCACCACAAGGGAGATATGCCCCCTTCATAAAGGGAACACCAAGTTTCTCTGCTGAACAATCTTCCAGTCAGCTAAAGCCAATACAACTGGCAAACACTGCTGGAAAAGCTTATTGTGGTTCTTCCTTAGTTATGCATACCCCCTCCCTTTCATCAGGAACGTCTGAAGAGCTGTGAATTAAAAAAAAAAAAAAAAAAAAAGTAGGTATTTCTTTGTATAGAGCTAGACCTGCAGTTGCGTGAGTAACAGCAAGGTCAAGAGATGGAGGCTGCCACAGGCAAGTACTTTTTGTAACAGCTCATGAATAGGGTTAGGCAAGATTGAAGTCACTGTGAAACTGTATGCTACAGCAGCTTACCTTGTGATTACATGGCAAAATTCAGATCTGTCCATAGAGAATAAAACCACTAAATCATGATAATGCTGAACCAATTAACACAACACAATTAATTGAAACTGTCTGCTCTCTCCCCTTCAAGTGGTATTTTTTGCTTTTCCCAGTAACTCCTGAGGTAAAGGCACCAACCTCAGCCATTTGCCAATCCAACTATTCCACTAGTGCTTGCAGGCCTCTGCACAACACACGTTAAGGCATGAAAACACAGATTTGTCTACATTTCAACTTTAAAGTGCTCTACAACTTGCATGAGAATACCAGTTACACAATGGAAAAAACTAAAATTCTTCAAAACAAAGGAGAGTGATCATTTATATAACTAACTCAGTTACTAGTAACTGCAGGGCTTACTTTCATTCATGTGGAAAGGCTTTTAAAGCTTTCCCCTCAACTAAAATTCAAATCAGGAAATGAAGATTCAGTCAACAAATAATGAAGTCCTCTATTTTTGTAGCATTTTTATTGAATTTCAGGTAGTGCCTGTTTATTCTTGCAGCAAAGAAAGAATCTCCATAAGGAGAAGGAAATGGACTACAGAATTACAATTTAAAATCAGGACTGAATTATATCTGCATGTTTGTGTCTGCTACTGATCTGAGCTCCCTGATCGTGTTCTAAAAATAGGGTAATTAACACACAATGTGGCCTTTGTTCTGGATGCCAAGATTCTGTAGCAGAAAACCTACTGATTTCCATTTAGAACAATCTGTCATTATTAGAAAAGTAATCCAGAAGTTTAAATTCAAATCTGAAAAACCTAAATAAGGATTTTTTTTTTTCCAAAAAACCAAACTAATCAGTATAGCTTGTTGCAGTTTCTCCTTTCCATCACTGATAACAGGAAAACAGCAGCCATCCTGAAAATCAAAATCTTCATACATAGAAAGATCTTTAAAACTTCCTAAGAGAGTACTTCTCTATACAGTTCATGTTGGTACAAATATTGTTTGTTAAAAAGTATCAAAGTAATACAAAAATTGTGTTTTAACAAAGTACTTCAGGCAGTAGGGTGCATTTTAGCAGTTTAAAAGATCAACTTGCACATGCCACAACATCAAACGAAGGAAAGAGTTGTCAGTTGACTACTGCAATTGCCACATAATCAAACACAACCATATTGGCAGTTATGCTGCTATCTGCCAGACTCACACACTGCAGCATTCAAGTTTTTATCCAGTCTGGCTTAAAAAAAACATCTAAACATCCTTATCTGAAAAGAAAGTTAAAAAAAACACTGAAAGATGTGCACAGGTTTCAAAAACGTGGTTTTTGCTGGAACATCTGATGAATGTGATACTGTAAATTCATTCACTCCCCAAGAAGCCACTGAGTTTCCTAAAATATATTTAGCAACTTTTTTGTTAGCTTCCATTCAGTATTTTTTCCATGGAAACAAAGCCATTACTCAACTGTAAACCTGAAAACATCCAGTTTTCAACTAACAAGCTAGCATTCACTAAAAAAACCCAACACAGCAATAATCTAACTTTGTCACATTTTGGAGGCTATTAAGGGTGAAACATTACAACTGGTAGCAAGACCCAAGAGAAGTATAGACATGGCTATGGTTTCAGTAAGTCACTTTCAAATGAATACAGGTGCAGAGCTTAAAAAGTGTTTGTAAACGTATACTACACCTGTAGAAAAGAACTTGAGCCTTATTTACAAAGTGATCTTCATAAACATTTTGTGAATTTCACTCAATCACACTTTTGGCACCAATAGAGGTACCCAATAACTCCATAACAGTGAAGGTGATAAAGAGGCCATGTCACGAAGACCTCACCAGTTCAAAACGAGAGAGCACGTTTCTGATGATGCTATCTTGCACACACAAGGAACAGAATAAAGCGCTTAAACCAGCTCATACTTAACCATTCAAAGTCAAGATGAGTAAATTCCAAAACTGGAGTATCAGAGAATTAAGAACTGTTTAAAAGGGTGATCCAAGTGAGGCAAAATAAACAGCACTAAAATCAAAAGTAATATGCATTAAAAGAAGTGATCCAAACTAATCTAGAATTCAAAAGGTCAAAAAATTGCTGTGCAAAGACACGGGTATAATTGCATGCAGCCCACTGAAGACTTCTGCTCAACATGCAGAAGTAGTGAAGATCTGAAATGAATGCATGATGATTAAAACACACAATGCAAAATAACGTCATCAAACACTTCAGTGATGTATCCTTATTGAGGTTACTGTATGCACTGCTGAACATTGTGGAAGAGAGGAAGTAGCTCAGTCCAGGGCCTAGCAACGTGAATACCCGAGGAACAGAAGCGGTTTAAATCTGAGATTAGTAGTATTTGCGAGGCGTACAATGAAAATGACACAAGTTAACCCAAGTTAAAAGGAAGTTCAAAAAGAGCCGATTAAAGATTAGTTTGGATGTAAAAAATTAATTGTTTTATCTCATGTCCCCTCCAACTTAGCCTTTCAAATGCTCAGGCAGTTTTTTTAACTAGAGCCAGAACTAAAAGGAAACTTTCCCTCAGTGGCCAGTCATCCCACAAGAAACGTCAATGAACTGTTCCTCTGCTGAAATATCATGTATTAAATTTCTAGAGAAAGCAGTTGACTGATTTAATCTTACTGAAGATGGTCAGAAAAGACAACAAGCATTTATGATTCTAACCTGTGTCTTAGAAGCCAGGGCATTTGCTCTGCTCCAGATTTCAGGTTTCTGCTTAGTCCAATCTCCTAACAATTTCCAGCACTTGAAAATGGAAATAATTCTAGTATCTCTCAGGTTTTAGGTGAGGGTTGCTTTGTTGTTTGTTTTGGTTGTGGTTTGGGGGTGGGGTGGTATTTTTTTTAAATAAATGCCAAATCAGCAGCTGAACACCACACAGATACAGGTACATCCAGAAGCTGAAGTTTTCATATCTAAAACATTCACATTTTTGATCATAAAAAGCTACTGAGGATAAACTGGCAGTATTTTGTTCCAAAGTCTACAAAGATCATGTGATGTGCAAGCGCCTACTCATTACCACAAGTTTAAAGCTTTAAACTGAGCCATAACCAATGTAAATTATTTCTGCGCAGTTGTACATTTAAGCACACATTCAGCTCTCAGATGCATCCTGTACTTTCCAATACTAAAATCTAAGCAGCTTTCCATCTAGGAAAGATCACCTGTCTAACCTTTGGCAGTAGTTAAAATATAGATTATGTTTTGATAATATGTAAATTAATTTAAAATATTAGTCTCTAGGGAGAACATAAATGACTTCAAATCTTTAATTATTTAGATTTTAAAACTAAATATAAAGTAACATGAGTAAATTAGCAGTGTCCCCTTCTTTTCTGCATGCAACTGAAGTTTTAGTCTGCAACAGTCTTCCTGAAAACTCGAAGTTACCACTAAAAACACAAGGCCACATTCATATTTAAGATTTTTCCCATTGCATTATCTTTGTTGAGTGTAGGAAGTCCTCAAAAACCTCATACATTGTTTCTAAATAGCTTAATTTTTCATAAGATCATCAAATGAATCCCCCCAAGCAACTTTCATGATGCCTTCCAGGCATGTCTGGTTTTCTAGACAAATACATGATGACACCAGGCCTACTCTCCAGAAAAACAAAGTTAGGCGATCCGGAACTGCACTAACCTCCGAGAAGAGTGAGGATCAGTTAGATTGAATTAACTTCAATTATAATCACTTTTGAGCTCAAAGTAATTTATAAATCAAAACTGACCTATAAGCATTAAACCCATCATCACAACCATTTCTCAGATTAAAAACCACTTGTAGAATACTGTTCTGCTCTGTTATTTACTAGCTGGTTTCCCAATGAGAAGTTAGATGGAATGCAGTCACCCACACCAGACACTAACTCAGAAGACTCCTCAGCTCTAGTAAAATACGACCAACATTAAGAAGTCTTGTTTCTGCCTGCAAAGTACTACCTCCTGTATAAATGCCTACTAGTAGTGCCACACAAATACCAAAGCGCTATCAGTCCATGCAAAAACCCAAAGCTGAAGTTCCACTGAATGTATATACAAATGCAAAAAAAGGAACACTCATTTAAAGAACACACACATCTCCATTTTCTGCAAACTGTCCAATTCCTGAAGTTGCCCAAAGAAATAAGAATTGGGCCTTTAGTCTGAAAGACAGCATGTTTGTGGCTGTTGATGCAAGAACCTGAAGACGAACTGGGTTACACCTATATTAACAAAAAGGTATAGATACCATAGAGATGTTCATTACACCCATTGGTCTACTGGAACAAATTGGCTTTCACCAAAGGATTCTATCAATAATTCAAAATAGAAGAAACTTGTCTTATTTTTCCTGAGATTCTTCACTACGGAAATTCAAATCGTCAAGCTATTTTATTCCCTGAAGAAATATCATCTCTGCCACCATGTTACAATTACTTCAACTTTTAGGAGCTAAGCTAATAAACAGATTTATACCAACCAGACTGACAGTACAGTAAGCCAAAGCTTCCTTAAAGATCTGGAGTTCTGAATTAAAGAACACGGTCTCAGCCTGGAAGACTCAGGTCTTACTCAGGGTTGTGAAAACTCTGTCAACAAAGCTTCATAACATACCCACAGTGCCTTTCTTTCAGTTTCACTTGTGCACACATGTTTATTGTCAGTTATGCAAGAAGCTAAGAAAAAAACCCAGACCACCCATTTCCAGGGTGCTCAGTAAGCAGATCACCATAACAAGTCCCCTGTCTGCTCCCAGGAACAGTTTTTGAGTGAGGTAGGGGCTAGATGAAGCACAAGGATCACAAGAGCATTACTGTGCTGAACACGTACCCCTGCTACAGCGCATCCAGGGCTTCTAGCATTCCCTGAAACACAGGGCTGGCTGCACAGATGCTGCACGCTACTGCTGTGCGTTGCCAGCAGGCCCAACACTCACTGCCTAGCCCTATGAATGCCAGAGAGGGACCAGGGGCTTTGAAAAACACCAGATCTACCCCCTGCACACAAGACCCTCAGTCTACAACCCTCTGTCCTCAGAAACCACAACACATGATATACAAAAAAAAGTAGAGGGAAGGGAGACTGCTAATATGTACCCCTCAGAGGAGTGAGTGGGTCACACAAACAGAAGTTCAGGTATCAGTGACCTATTCTAAGCACTTGTTTTATCAACTTTTCAGGAACCTGAAGCCTGAGCAGCCTAAGCTTTTGTCTGGTACAGAGGCATCCAAGTCACTCAAATGCCAATGTATGTAGATTTCAAACTCTATTTTGCCCTAAGAATTAAGATAACTTCTGGATTTACAAGAGACTGGAAGCCATCCAGCTTGCTTCAATCCAAGTACAGTGCTGTTAAAGAGTGTACCATTGTAAAATGGGCACAGCAGGAAAGCTACTAACTAACAAGCTACTAACTAACAAGCTACTAACTAACAAGCTACTAACTAACAAGCTACTAACTAACAAGCTACTAACTAACAAGCTACTAACTAACAAGCTACTAACATTTTTGTCAGAAACTACTTGCACCAGCTTTACGCAGCCCTAGGCCTTAGCACTTCTCTCAAGTTTTATTTCATGACTGAAATTAAAACAATCAGGCACTATCTCCTGCCTGATTAACCTAATGTCCACTAGCAGATGTTAAAATCCCAACAGAGTGGGTGAGCAGAGGACAGTGTTTGTCACACCTTGCACACTCAGTGCCCGCTTCTCTTACCTTCCTGAAAGGAGTTAGAGCATGACATGTAAGTGTATCTCCATAGAGCTTCAAACACAGACACGCATGAAACTACGGTGTGCTCTGAGATAAACTGTGGAAGATGCTGCCGTATTCTTACTATGCCACAGTCACTTGAACTAAAGGTTTGTGTTTTCTTCTGCAAGCGAAGGGGGTAGGCTTGGTATTAAACACTGAAAGCCTCACAAGTACTGGCAGCGCAAGTCCCCTAAATACCCAATACGGAGTAGAAGGAATATGTTTTATATGCAGATAGATACATATGAATGCTATAGCTAAAGAACGCTAAAGCCAAGACTTCCAACTGTAGTTACTAGATCTTTCAGGTAGTTTCTTATTCTCCCTCGGCGACAGACAGCAGGCGCCTCCCCCATCTGCTGCTGCGGACAACGGGCACGGCCAGCGTCAGGAGGACAGCAAAGGCCTCATTTTGGGCGATACCAGCTCGCAGGCACCCGGAGAAGCGACATGTTGAACTCCAGAACGCCGAAAAACGCTCTCTCCCGAGGCAGGAAGCAAGAGCGGCCCGTCTCCGGGCTGAATCTCTGGGTCCCCCTGCCCGCAGCGAGCAGCACAGCACGCCCCAGCCCCGGCTGTCCGCACGGCAGCGAGCACAAGGC